CGCCCACTCACTTCACCCAGTGATGGTCTGACCTAATTGTTGTTAACTTTATTTAAATTTCTTTCTACCCGACAGCGAAAATTATAAAAAAAAATTGTCGAGCAAAATTTTACATTAACAAATTTTTACTGGTTATGAAAAAATAACCCCGTGATTGATAAAATGAAAAAAAGTAGCCTGAGGTTCGAACCGGTAAACTTACATATTACGGCAAACATACTACCATACTGCGCCAAACTAGTATATGATATATTGTGACAAGGCAAAATTTGATATTAGTTATTACGTATCTGTCGTATTCGGCGTGACAAACTTTTATATTTCAGCATTATGACAGGAGAAGAAAAATATTGGGTTGCCCAGTAAGTTCGTGCCGCTTTATAAGGAAAATTGAAACGCTGTTCTCTTAAATTTTTGGAAACGTTTTTAAATTAAATTGGTACGACTCTATACCTAAAACGTCTTTTATTTTTGGCTAAAATTTAAAAAAATAGTTTTTATCTCAACCAATGAAATGAAATTATTCACAATATAGAAATTTTTGTGACGTTTGATAATGGTGGAAATCCGAAAATGAATCCACTTCAGCTACAGTCTATTGTAAGCTTCCTATCGAAAATCAGAACGAACTTTCCGGACAACCTATAATGTTAATACAAAGTGTCAAATGAATGTAACAAATGTTAAGATATTTTTGCACACCTTGACTGCTTAGTTACTTATGACGCTGTGGCTGCTACGATATTTATGGGCACATACATGCATGTACTCATATATTTGACGCTGTGTATGTACCGATGTATTTGAGCAGGGTGAATGTATCTATTAATTTGAGGACTTTTGTTGTACCGATATAATTAATTACTTTTGGTGTACCTATATATTTGCATATCTTGTCTGTTACGATCTATATGACGCTGACTGTACTCTTTTTGGGATGATAGAAATGTTTTTATATCAGCGTATCGTATTAGACCTTAATGACAATTTAAATTATATTTTAATGCACGAAAACAAAGTTAAATCGTGTCAATGATATCAAGAAATCGTGTTCATTGTTAATTAATCGCAGCTGTACACGAATATATACAATCACGGTATGTTTGTTAAAGTTGATTCTTGAACAATAGAATATTTAAATCATCTGCGCCGCCACGGGGAATAGAGAATTGAAAAATGTAAAATTGATATAAAATTCTTTCGAATAAGGCTATTGTTGGTAGCTACAAACCTCTCCCCCTAGACGTAGCCTAGACAATCGACTGACAACACCCATGCCTGTGATTGTGGATCTCAGAGGGGTGCAAGAATCGTGAGGCGGTGCGGTGTTACCGTGCGGCGAGCGCGCAACACTGGTTGTGTTTGGCGGCGCGACGTGCGCGCTCGCGGCCCGTGCGCGCGGACATGGCGCGCGCCGTCGCCCACCGCCTCGCAGCGCAGGCTGATGATCTGCATGCAGCACAACACGTCCAGGTCCATTGCTCATTTACATACCAGACTTTTCTAACAAGAAATTAGGCTTTACCCTTGTACCACTTCTTTTTAGATGTGGTGTACGATTGCTGCTATTGCATTACAAGTGAGAGCATTCGAGCTGTGTTCAAAAGCTTTTATTAAATTGGAAGCTCTAGAGGTAATGTTTATGGTCTTTTCTTCACGTAGACTTTTTTATTTGTGAAGTATACACATACTCAAAATATCGATTTAATTTTGTAGCCTGACGTGTTTGAAGAGCTTGCAATTGAGATATTCACTCGCTGTAAGGCAAAAGATAGCAGAGGAAACAAATTTGACTGTCCAAGTTGTCAAACGAGCATACCAGACTGGTAAGTTCAAAAATATTTATTTGTTTCCGTATATTTCTTACAGCGTAAGGTACAAAAGTATCTTAATTTGTAGTAGTCGTCATCCAGAAACAATCCTGTATCCGGCCGTGGTTAGGTTTTACTAATAAAGTCTGCGTTAGGTCTGTGCGCTGTTTGTCGTGCGGTGCGCAGTTCCCCGGGTGTGCGGTTTCGGGGCGCGTCCTGAGCGCGCCACACGCGGCCTGGTCGTGCGCCACTTGCGCCGCAGCCGCGCAGCGACACGACCTCGTCATTCGACACTCTTGCCCCATGTGCCACATACAACTGCCATAGTTATAAACACTGCATTTGTATACCAGTCCAAGGGTAATATGTATACCAGTCCAAGGGTAATATGTATACCAGTCCAAGGGTAATATGTATACCAGTCCAAGGGTAATATGTATACCAGTCCAAGGGTAATATGTATACCAGTCCAAGGGTAATGTGTAACATAATATTCATCAATCTCTAACTTAGTTAAATCCACCAGGAAAACGACGTAAGTTATATGCCTTACTCATTGAAATTCGTAAATTAAGCAATGTTAATGATAAGTTTTACTGTGATCCATGAAATTGTAATGTATGCCGTCCATTAAAATTACATGTAAGGAATAAAGACATTTATTAATAAAAATGATCTGTACTTTTTTGTATTCCTACTGAAGTTCACACACTTATTGTCATTTAAACCACCTCCAATTTATTTGAGATCACAAAACTGCTCTGCTTAGATTGTAATACTGCCTGTATTATATGAAAGAAAATGAAACACAAATTAAATATAATTATATTACTAAATCTTTATTAACAATATTTCACAAATTGTATGAGCTTTAATTTGTTTCTGTTAATTATCTTTGACTAGATAATTTATCTAAGTAAAAGAGGAAACTGCTGCATAAGACAATTACACAATGCTAACTGGGCAAACAATTTAAAAAACAATGTTCATAGAAATATTATTTGTACTGTATACTGTAGTTTAATAAATCAAATGTATGTGGATACTTAATATATTTATTAACAAAGTTATAGGTATTTATTTTTAAATGGTAAAATAAGAAAAATTAAGAATCACTTCATGATTCGTTTGTAACCCAACCATAACCATGCTACTACAACATAACACTAAAATTATTGTACATAATTATTGTTTGGCATATCCATTTTAGAAAACTGCAATGTGTTATCAATTATTTGGAACAATTCAGGGGGCTGTGGAATTCTGCCAGTTTCTAGTTTTGACCAAAGTGGAATATTGTTAAGAGATATTTCAAATGCACCAGATGAAACCAGTTGTCCTTCAATCATGTTGGCCAAAAAGAACATCATCATGCAGGCATATAACTTGTTCTCTAAACACCAACTCCACCAGCTGGGCTGAGGTTTGTTCAACCAAGCAAAGATGTTTACACCACTGAGGATGCACATAATCAATAACATCTTGCCTAAGCTCTGCAAACATAAATAGTAAAGTTCAGTCTATGGCATTTACACCACACCTCTTCTTTACAAATGTCATCACTAAACCTAATCCCATAAATTTTTTGAAACTTGAATTTTTATTTATAAGTTCCTACTATAAAATACTAGGACATTATCAGACATTCTTAAAATTGTAAATTTCTATTATCTTATTTCTTTCTTATTCAGTTTCACAGTTTAATGTTACCTTTTTGCTAATCAATTATGGGATTAATAGTGGCGAATTCATTACCAATAAGAAACAATACTTACAATAAATCGAGATAGGTACATGTTTAAGCCAGGTGGGTCATAGTTTGCACCAATAACAGAAATTTCAGGATATTTTTGGTGAATTATGCCAGCATAGTCTTCAAACACTTTTCTGTAGCCACAAGAATAGCTAAAAAATAAATCCATATTATTAACCAGACATTAGACAAAGAACAAGAAAATTTAGAGGTAGAAGTATCTAGTTTAGGTCTCATTTTAATGGCACATTTTTATGGTTTCATTATAACCATTAGGGAAATAATATAGAGGAGAATGACAGCCCACACCATCACAATGAAAACCCATGTTTATTTTAGGAAGATAACAATTGAATGCACATCATAAATACCCAGCAAAAACATTTCAAACATTACCTCAACAATTTAGAAAATAACGTTCTGATGCATACAAAACATAAAAGATGAAGGTTTTCCATTTATCATTGTTAATAGCACTTAATACATTATCCGTATTAGTAACATATCAAAGTCACAAATTCTTTAATTCAATAACTATCATTTTTTAACTATAATGACGTTAAACATGATAATTTGGTTTAGATTATGATCATTTCAAACAAAAAATACAGAAATAATCCATGATGACAGAAAACCAAAAAACATCACATCACGTTATCAATTCTGTCGCAATGTCTAAGTGTTGTGTAAAGTGTAAACAACAATTACATTTTTAAATACGTACCAATAATAAATGTTCATAATGTGCCCCATGCCTTGTCCAATTTTCGTTATACTTTCAGCATCATTTTCATTAGCTCTTACAAAATTATCAGCCGATAAAATAACACACAAACATAAAAAGGCTATGGATAACGACAAGCAGTTTGTCATAGGCATCGTGACCTGTATTTGTAACTGGTTAATCAACAAATATTTTTAACTATACAGTAAAATAAAATAAAACAATCGTAATATGACAATATTAAGCAATTAAGCAGCTTTTCGTTTTTCTAATTCAATTAAAATTTGTCTTCCGTCACTTGACATCTGATAGATTGCCAGTATAAAATAAAATAAAAAGTTTGCGTTTTCTATTCTTTTACGATGCAGAACAAAGAGTGTTCTCTCAAAATAAGAACACAGGACAGGATATCACTATTACACACAAGATTATGTTATTTATGGCAAACTTGCTGTAGCCCGCGTCTATGTCGGTGTTGTATGTGTTCTTCCATACTATGTTCCACTGGTCTGTTCAATGCCAAATCCAACGAACATCCATCCATACATCCAATCATCAAAACAGTCGCATTTATTTATATCACTGAGATATGTTAGCTTTTACAGCTGCTGTGCTGCCACTGCTTTTTCATTGACTAACACCAAATTGACATCTTTTTTATGGACTCTATAGTCTTTACATACTCTTAGTTGACAGCCCTGACTGACACTGACAGTCTGATTGCAAGTTCTTCTCTGTTCTGTTCTGGGTGACTTTTAAAAAATCTTAAAGAGACAATTGTTGTAAAGTATTAAAAATAAAAGTCAAAACACTTAAAAATATTTATGAATGTAGTACTTGCTTTTATAATTAGTGTCCATAATATCAAAGTTAAACAATCAATAATAGTAGATAGAATACATCTATTCAATAATAAATAATCAAGAATATTCCAATAAAAATTGTAAAGTTTATTTAAAAAATGCCCCATAGTCACTGTAATCATGGAAGTCATGATCACGATCATGGGAACCCAGATGAAATAGGTTTACAGTATAATCTTTACCAAAAAATTGATAAAGATAATGTTCAGTGTCTCAATGAAAGTGTAGATGGTTCTGGAAAAACTGTATTTAAGCCTTGGGAGAAGCGTCTGGATACTTCTGAGGTTGGTATACTGGTATACTGTGCTTAAATTTTTTTTCACAATATCTTAGTTATTAATAACATTTATATTATGTATTATACCTTTAAAAAAAATAGTTTATAAATAACAACAGATATTATGGTTACAGTGTGTGGAAAGTGATGCTGATGAAGAGCTACTATTTAATATTCCATTTACAGGCAATGTAAAGTTAAAGGGTATTATAATAAGATCAGAAGATTCAGATTTACACCCTTCTAAGTTAAGATTGTAAGTATATTTTATTTTTATTAATGTCATCTAGCATTATTATAGCTACATTATTTCTTAAACATATGTCAGTCAACTTAAACAACATCCTGGTCTTGTCCAAAGATGGGTAAGCCAGGGTAGTATTTGTCTGACCAACATTACACCTAAAAGTCTTGAAATAAGAGCCAATGTACAATTTTATTACACATTGTACACATGTATATACAGATATAGGTAGATAATTATCATAATAATGTTGATATTTAAATGTATTATTAATAAGTAGTCTTATATGTGGGGCAGCATGATCGCATAACAACAAAGCCAACAACAACAAATATTATAATTATTGGGAAAATGTTTAATATTAATATGTTACAATAAGAAATAATATTATCAATTTAAATGTTTTTAATTTGGATATTTTATAGATTCAAAAATAAGCCCAATATGACATTTGATGATGCCTCAATGGAACCAGATCAAGTGTTTGAGCTGCAAAAAGATAGCCAAGGCCTTTTAGAGTATACACCTAAGTAAGTAATATCTCTGCACCTTCGAACAAATTCCATAACTTTATTGTTTATTTTATTATTTTAACAAGTGAATTATCATTTTACCATAACCATTTTGTGTGTATGCCATAAAATTTGGATAAAATTTTTAAGGGTTGTAAAAGTTTAAATTAAGTAAGGGTATTGTTATTGTGCAATAGCACAGTTCTGTTTAATGTTCATTTTTTTTAGATGTAGCTACACAATTTTAATCGTAAAAGTATTTGAGGTTTTAAATTTCTCTGTTTTTTTGTCTTTCCTGGAGTCTTTTGGATTTTTTATAAATTTATTTATATATTTTATAAAATAATTACATATTGTTTTATTTTTATAATATAAATGTACTATAAATATAATTTATATAACTAAAAGTCTAATAATTATATATATTTTGCATTTTCAGAATAGTCACATTTTCATCTGTGTCACATTTGACAATGCATTTTCCGACAAATTTTGGTGCGGAAACAACCAAAATTTATTACATTGGCTTGAAAGGAGAATGGACACAAGGACACAAGCATGGAGTGACAATTTGTACATATGAATCAAGACCTATGCTTGATGATCATAAGTTAAAACAATTTGATTCTGTTGGCAGACCAATAGAGTGAAACAAATTATGACAATTGTAAATACTTCATAGTATATTCATAATTTGTTTTATTATTAAAATAAACTACTGCATATAATTTAAATATTTTTATTTGTAACCTTAGAAAATACGTGACATTTCTTACTATAACATAATAAATAAGAAAGATTTTATGATTGTTGGAAGGTACCATAGGAGTGGCTCAATGGATATTGATGAAATTTGGTACAGACGTAGAAAATAGTCGGGAAAAAGTCATAAACTACTCAAGTTTTTTGTAATTCCATGCGGACGGGGACGGGGGCGACAGTTAGTATAGATAAAACTAATGTATTTATATTATTACTACATTAGTTTTATTCTATACTAATCTATATACTATCTTGTCATGAATACTTACCGTGGGTTTCCGAGACCAACATTTTCGCTTAAAACGTATTGCTATCTCTGTTTTGTCAAAGATAATGACTGGGATGACGGTTTATTTTAAACAGAGATTTTGGTCTCAGAAACTAACGGTAATTTGCCTAGTTTTTACTCTGTTCAATTAAGATTAATTCACCAATTGTTTACCTGGGAAATTCACTTTCAGATGAACGAAACATATGTTGTAGTGTCACCCGTTCATGTTTCGTTTCTGGCGGAATAGATTGAAGGAAGGAAAACGGATTTTATAAAAAGTATTAAAGAAACAAATTCTTACATATTATTTTATTAACCTACAAATATATTCGTTATAATATGTTATTATTATTTACAAAATTCGGGCGTTTTAAACGACTTCCAGATACAAAACGGGTTCTTTGTATCCCTAAACGACAGTGGAAAATAATTCATTAAATCACTAAATTTAAATGTAGAGATGAATATTTAAACACATAATACATTCATATTCACGAGGTAATTGTAACATACAACGCTCTGTCATTCGTCTACAACATATTCAAGGTTCCTTGTACTTTCACGTTTATCCATAACTATGTAAAATGCTAGTTTAATTGCAAAATCTAAAATATTCTTTGAAACATAGAAAAACTATAATTTATTATAATACAAAGATGGCAGTGACAGTGAGATTTTATTAATGTTTAAAATCATTGTTGTAAGCACTTCAATTACAGTTTATGGCAGGGGAGTGATGGGGAGTTATGTGGTGACTTGCTTGTAGACTCTGATGGGCTGACGTCTGCCGCGAGGGTTGAGGTACCTGCGGCCGTAGGGTCTGCGGCCCGCGGGGTAGTACGGCCGCCGGCGCACCACCTCGTTGGGCACCGAGCGCACATCGCCGCCCTGGTAGACGCCGTCCGGCGGGCCCGGGAGTCGTCTCATGCACACCGAACATCTTGAATACAAATTAAATACGTAAATATACACACTCAAATTATTATTTAGGCACCAAAAGATTAACGGTTCAGAGTACGGACATCCAAGGATCGTGGGATCGAATTCCTCATTCGGTATCGGGTATTGTCGCGATATCCTAGCATAGGCATATCCAAAAAATATTAGTCAATTCATTTCAATAATCTACTAATATTTAATGTATAAAACTAAAGTATGTCCATCAGCATATTGCTACGAAGGAATTAAATTGCCTAAAACTTAGTGAGAGGGTACTTGGAATTATTTTACTGATTAGGTATGAATAATAATTGTCTTTTAGTATCATTGTACGTACCTGCTAACTTTAGTGATTTTATCTTCCTTAAGTGTTTGTTGTTCGGGCCGCAAGAACATTCTGTTATCGTCAATGGTCGACAGCCAGTAGGAGACTGCGGTGGCGAAGTAGTTACAGCGTCCCAGTCCATTACATTCTATAAATGGCCGCGTGCGGAACTCGCGGAGGCAGGATCCAGGTGAAATTAGACTTTGTCCGGCTGCGTCGGCACCTGCCGTGTGCTGCACAACAAAAACAAATTAACATCAAGTAAGTACAACTTAATATCTCGTTCCGTCAACGTCCAATTAAATTAGAGTAGAGTTAAAATTTGTCCTTGCTTAGTTGAATCTTACCATTAAAAAGCTGTATCCAATCCATAATTCATCCCAACCCTGTGGACAAGTTGGCACTTCACTACTTTGACTATGTATGGCGATTGTTCGTGTCGATGTCTCACATACTTGACATCTGAAACATTAAAATATTTTACAATTATTTAAAGCTAATTAATTTACGTAAAATAAAAAAATAAAACAGCGGGCGCGGGTCCGATGTAGACAAAAACTAATAAACTTTATTTACTGGCCCGCATTTACCTCGAGAATTTTTTGTTATTTCCAATTTGTTTTTGGCTATTTTCGCCCATAATTCATAGGAAATACTAACCTCGATATGTAAGAGCCGACATCTCTAGCTTGAATAGGTTTCATGGCTATGGGCATGGGCTCCGGCGTAGACAGCCAGAAACTATAATCCTCGCGTTGAGCAAAGTCACAAACATTGTTAAGATTGCAGAACATGTAGGGCATGGTTGAGAACTTTCGAAGGCAACTCCCAGGTGCTCCTGTTTAAAAAGAATTTATTTTATTTATGACTATATCCATTTGCTTACATATTTTTATAAAGTACATTTTATTCATTAGCGATAGATATTGTGACATCGAACAACATTAAAGTTTACCTAATAAATACGCTAAAGCCATATGTACTACAACACATTAATTAAATTGTTGCGGTTAATTTTATTTACATAGAATATGTAATATATCTTTATAAAATTTTTAGTCGTCAGTAAAATCCTTTTTATTACTTGCTTGTATCATATATTATTAAAAGAATTCTCACCTAAATCTTGGCCGTGTGCTTTTGCATTTGCAACTATATGTATAAGGGAGAATCCTTCCCAGAGAGGTGATGTTCCCGCTGGGCATTGTGGAATCATTCTGGTTTGTGAATGTACCGTGAAGTAAAAACCCCGCGACTTCGGTATCGGCGGTGGTGGCGCAGGCCTTCCCGGAGGCCCGGGAGCTCCACGTTGTCCTTCATAACCTTCATATCCTATAATTCCTTTTATTCCTTGTGCGCCTTGAAGTCCTGGAAGCCCTACGGAGCCCATTAAACCGATATCTCCTCTTTCACCTTTAGCACCGAATACTCCATTACGTCCATTTGGACCCGGCGGACCATCTGAACCGCGACGTCCAGGAAATCCAGGAGGACCAGTATCACCTATAGGACCGGGTAATATTTCTGATGGATGAATAGTTTTGCCTTTATCACCTTTCATTCCTCTTGATCCTTTAATCCCCGGCATGCCTCGCCACCCTTCTTCTCCTCTTTCTCCTTTAATACCCTTAGCACCTTGCATACCAGTATAGCCGTCGAATCCAGCATCACCCATATCACCCTTAATGCCTTGATATCCCTTGAACCCTTGCCATCCTTGATCGCCTCTCGCACCCTTAGCACTAAAGGAAGATCCAGTTTCACCTACATCTCCTGGTTTTCCCTGTAATCCAGGAATACCTTCCATTCCTCTTGGTCCAGGTTTTCCGGGGTTTCCTTGTCTGCCTGGAAATCCGTCCATACCTACGAAACCTTTTGGGCCCTGAAAACTTAATCCTGGTGGTCCACGTTCACCAATAGGACCGGTTACACCATATTCACCAGGAGCACCTTTTTGTCCCATTGGTCCAGGCCATCCGGGAAGTCCATCAAATCCAGCTCTACCTTTTTGTCCTCTCTCAGCATTAATGCCATCTAATCCAGGCAATCCTGGTGGTCCCTGATCTCCTACTTGCCCCTTTTCTCCTGGTAGTCCGTCTTCACCAGTCATACCAACAATACCAATTTCACCACGTTCTCCTTTAATTCCTTTTATTCCGAAAAAGCCGTCGTCTCCTGGTGGTCCTTTAGGTCCAGGTATTCCATCAATTCCAATGTTTCCAATATCTCCCTTTGTAGCCGGTAAACGGGTACTTATACCCCTCTCTCCTCGTTCTCCTTTGAAACCCATTTCGCCTTTAACTCCTATTGGGCCTTGCCAGCCCTCATCTCCGGGAAGACCTGGTCTACCTATAAAGCCAGGCTCTCCTTCCTTTCCTAAATCTCCTTTTTCTCCGGTTGCGCCAACAAGACCAGGCCTTCCCATCAAACCCTTCACACCTAGTAATCCATTTCTTCCTGGTAGTCCTGGATTGCCTGGATAACCTTTGTCACCAATATCACCGGGAGGTCCATCGATCCCGTTGGAGCCAAATTCGCCTTTTGGTCCACTGAAACCAGGATTACCTTGTGGTCCAGGCTCTCCTTGTTCCCCTTTTATACCTGGGTATCCTCCAATAGCTAACCCAGGGTTTCCTTCGTCTCCTTTTGACCCTTTGAGTCCGAAAATGCCAGGTTTACCAGATGCTCCCTCTATGCCTGGTTCTCCAACGTCGCCTTTCATTCCTATTAATGCATTTTCACCCCGCAAACCTTGTAAACCGGGGAGTCCTTCGTCTCCTCGGATTCCTTTGATCCCTCTTAAACCATCTAGACCGGGTAATCCTGCTAAGCCCTGGTCGCCTCTATAACCCTTAACTCCTTCAGGTCCTGGCGGACCTGGCTTACCGGGCTGTCCTGGATATCCTTGTGCTCCAGCCTCACCTCTATCTCCAATTTCACCTTGAGATCCAGGTGTTCCCATAACTCCTGGGAAGCCGGGGAATCCAACTGGTCCTATATCTCCAGTCCATCCGCGAAAACCAACGCGACCAGCTTCTCCTTTTACGCCTTTAGGTCCGACGTCACCTTGTATGCCGTTTAAACCTTGCAAACCAGGTTCACCAATTTGACCCATGGGGCCAGGGAATCCGGATCGTCCAGGTATTCCTGGAGCACCCTGAATTTGGATACCGGGTAGGCCCTTTCGACCCTAGAAATATAAAATGTAAAAAATTTAGAGAATTCAGTTTAAAACATCTTTAAACAGCTTTAAACTTACAGACGGGAGTTCAAAATAATGTATAAAATAGTTAGTGATAATAAATCCATTCAAATAGTATGACGACTGGTATGACAGAAATAAAAGCAGACATAAAAACCTCAGAAGTAAAATGTTTTATGAATAACATTTATTGGTAAATACTACTTACAGGTGGTCCTCGTGGTCCA